AAAAGTGTGCGATTTGACGTGGAATGGCCCATATATATTTCAAAATGTTTACAGGCATAGTGTTAACCATAGTGTTTTTTCAGTTCAACGAATGTTACTGCGTGACGAACTATCTACGTATTTCGGTTATAATGCTTCACTACAACTCTTCAGTCACGTGCTATTGATCAGCAGATAAGTACTGAAATATGAATGAGCTACCTGTCCAATTCTAAATACCAATTTTATTAACCACTGTCCTTAAGGGGTACGTAATAAACTAATAAGCTTGACCTCCTTAGATGATAACTACATCGCATTTCTAATTTTTTCACTGTTTGTTAGTTTTCATGTTACCAATAATGTTTCAGTGCAGTTCTGCTATATGAAGATTTCCGTTAATAACGTGAGTTAAAAAATAAAAAATAAATTTAAACTGTACTTTCAAATTCTCCAATTCACTTTCTAACATCTGAACTGTAAGTGTTTTCTCTGCTTTTGAACGCCACTTTTCCTTCTCGTCCTTCACAGCGTTCATTTCCGCTACTAAAGAAGCGTACTTCTCCTCGTTAAAAGACGAATTTGTTTCCTTTTCGTGCAATTTTTTGTAAAGTTCGGCTATCTAAAAAAAATGGAAAAGTAAGACCATTAAAAATGATGATAAAATGATGGTACAAAAAAGACAAAATTTTTTGCAAAAGACCAGTCATACGATAAATATGAAATTCAAAACTAAAATTCATTATGCTCCCCAGGCCTACCTGTCTTTCCATCTGCGCTGCATTCGCACGTTCTTTAGCATACCTCTGTTGCATTTCTGCAAGAACAGAGCCATGATCAGTCAATTCTCTTTCCCGATCTTCTTCTATACGTTTCATTTTCGCACTCATACTCTGTGAGAATATAAATCCATGACACTTCGAATGAACAAAAAGAGCATTATTGAGATAAGTAAGCCATTCCCAAGCCAAAGAAGAACATACCGTAATACGTTGCTCAAGCTCCTCCGCTTGAGCTTCTGTTTCAACAGCTGTTTTCTGTAACTTTTCCCGAAGCGAATCATTTTCAGCCTGCATCAACAAAACGCAATAAACAGTAAATAACTATTGTAACCCGTAAGAAAATCCTACTTAGACCAAACACGAAATTACAGATTTTCACACTCTATCATGAACCAGATAAAGTTAACCAACGCTACTCAACTGCAACTATGACAATAAAAGTTACACTAAAAAGAGCACTCACCAAAAGAGCCTTCTTATCCGCCTGAAACGCAGCTTCACGTCGACTTTTTTCTGCTATGAGTGTAGTCAATGACTTTTTTAAAAGTTCGACCCGCTCCTCCTTAAAAAAAGTTCATTTGTTCCTCTACTAAACCTAAATGAAAAAGAATTCAAGACTCCTAATTAAATATTTCTAAAGCCAGTAATACATTATGACCAGATATTCTCGGAGCATAGTCAAATATAGTAAAAGAATGGCTCAGAATTTGCTTGACTTCTCGAGCACTTTTTGCCATCTTATCGAAAAAAAAGGGAATAAGAAATACGTGAAACTAACATACTAGAGTACAACTTGGATTATCCGTGCTAGCATCATTCGAAATTTCCTGAGGGCTTTTCGCGCACGACGATGTTTCTAAAACAAACTTGTCATAACTAAGGAAAACTAGAGTACGATAATAAAGTCTATACTTCATCCCCTTCTGAAAAAGAAAAAACCAAAAAAGCCCTTTCAAAGCGGAGAATTTTTCAAATACGGAAAGAAAACCAATTTTACAGCACGTCTGACTTGATAAGTCCTGTCCAGTTAAAGCAATAATTGTGGTCTGAAGTGCTTCTTTCTCAGCATTAAGACTCTTGTATGCTCGGACAACATCTGCAATAAAATCAACAATATGAATCCAAAAGAAACAATAAAGCTTTAACATCAATTAACAAAATACAATTAATATGGCTGCGACTTGTTTAAAAACACTTTTTCAGCTGCTTTTGCAAGAAATTATATTCAAGCATTCTCCAGCAAAAAACTGAAAAATTTAATATCGAATTCTAACCAAGGCAAATACCGAAGACAATTTTAATAGCTTTTTTTTACTTTGGGCAACTGCAAAATAGTATCACCAAAACTATAATTAAGACACTGCCTTCAAAGGAGACACCTTGAACCTACTTACTGGTCCCACAAAAATCGCGAAGGAAGCGAACAACAATAACCTGTACGCCTAAACACCAAATGTCCCTATCCAAAAAACTATAAGATTTTAACCTGTTGCCTCCAATAAGTGCATAACAAATATAAAAACTCAACTAAGCAAGATCAATTTCCCCAAATGCACACAGTTAGATGAAAGCCACACGAGAAATCATTAATATAGATAAAGTAATTTGAGGAAATGAAACACCTTTCAACTTAGTTTCGTACCGCTGGATTTGCTTTTCACTTTCTTCCAACTGTTTAAGAAGCTCTGATTTCTTTTTTTCGCTGCCCCGCAGCATGACTGTAACGGAATATGTCACAGATGCTTCGTGCCACCGCTAATTGTACAATGTCATTCTGCAACTAAAACTGTCGAGCTTTCGTGTAACAGCGCCCTCCAAAAATTGAAAACGATTGAAGCAGAAGAGGTAAAAAATTGTAAGTTGTGGCAGTATTAAACTTGAGAGATAAAAACGTCAAAAAAAATCTTCAAGAATTAAAATGTTCGTTCGACTTCTATCTGAGCAAGGACGCAGATAATACTTCTTTATCACATCAAACTTCAAAAGCTATATCCGATCAGAAACAATAAAAACAATCAGAATGAGAAACCAACAAACTAAGCTTGAGAATCAGTAGAAAAGCAGCAGTGTTACTGTGACTGCAAATGAGATATAATTAACTAAGTATGTCACTACCATTCCAAATAAGTTACCCTCCCATAAACTTCGAAAGTTACGAAGAAAACACAACACTGGCAGCTTTAGCAAAAAGAAAAAAAAAAAAACAACAAGTACTTAGTGAAAAACTAATAACGACTTAGAAGAACCATGTAATTTTAAAAAAAGCTCCCAGAAATATCAGCAATTTTTGAAACGTTTAGTTAAAAGCAAAATTAAAGTTTTCACTGCAGGCACTCAATTTAGACTCGAAACCCTGACTAAGTATTTGACAAGGGACAGAAAAACAGAGTATGCATTCTCAATAAACGTGTACCAATCCATAAAGAAAAACCCAAAATAATATATAGGTAAAAAGCCCTGAAATTAAGGAGTGTGTTACTGCTAGCTCTCGACTCATAAAGAAGTTACGCCACTCGAATCCTGCTTTAACTTCCCAAATAAGAGCCTGAAATGTAATTGTAAAAGCAAAGAAGTCTTAGAATAATGTAGTTTAGCAAAAGTAACCCACCCAGATAAATGAAACACCAGATAAAAGAGAAGGCAAAGACCTGCACCATAACTGTCAACTTTCAAGGTTGCTAGAGACCACTAGAGGCGCACTTAATTTAACACGCAAGCAATTTAAAACAAAATTCCAAGTCAGATGCTACCCATGTCACAAAGTATAAAGTGATCAATGTTAGTGGTGCTCAATTAAGATGCTAATAAACTTCAATTTGCAACAGCAAGACTGAATAACTTAAGCTACCAACCTGGAGAGCCACAAGTACGAAGTAAAATACAAAGCCAGGAATACCAGTAAGGCCTAGAATGCCACTAGCCATTCCTGACGCAGCTGCCTGACACGTTCTGGAGTATTCCAAAACCCCGATGTTGTGACGCATTGCGGCTTCGCTAATCACCTGAACTACAAAACAGTTTTCGACCCATGTTGAATAAAAAGTATGCTTCAGAATTTAATCAAAAACAGTACGGCTATTTGTGTGGCATCCTTTGACAGACGATCGCTGGCATTACGTTTTGCAGTAGCTGAAGGCATTTCACAATACTGGAAAGTTTAATGCCTGCAAATAAAATGATGTTTACAAAACGTTCTTCTTTTTAAAAATAAAGAAAGATAAAACAAATCTGTCGAACCCTATTGCGCTTTAAATGTCAACTTATTTTAATCTGTTAGGTAGTAAAAAACGTCATTATGTAATCAAATAATGAAAGCAATTGTTTAAGAGGCCAATAATGGCATAAATAGGTTAATACTGAAAATTCATTCAGTACCATTCAGCAAAAAATCTTGAGACATTTATAGCTAGTGGTCAAGTACACAGTATATTTAAGGTAAAACTTCTGAAAAGACCATTTTTTGTGATGTTGTAGAGAAAGCCTATTCCTTTGGAACGTAAATGATAAAAAACGTGTGAAAGGAAACCTAGATGCAATATTCGAACTACAATAGATATCTACTGGTTGAAACCGAAGGCTGAAAAAAATTACGATATATTTTAGCTTGTTTATTTCTTCTGTACTTTAGTCCTTCAATATACAATACAAAGAACGATACAATCTGTGTGTCATCAATAACATCAGAAAAAACCAAAGGATCCGGCGAAAATACCCTTGCAAGGAAATCCACACAACGATAAAACGCCAAATTGAAGCAAAATGACGTTAAAAGTGGTCTTTTGCCAAATATTTGATGTTTCTCTGTCCCATTGTATTCCGCATTTTGGCTGCAGGCCATCAGCGGCAATTTGAATTTGGCACTTCCGTTACATTTGGTATTTCGATGATATCTTTCTGTTTGTATATTCGGACACCCATATCATAAACCCGGTGCTTCTTTCTCCATGCTCACACCTTCAAGGCAGAACTGTTCAGTTTTGTCTACTTAGTGTACAGTTTCAGCGCCACATATGAAATACCTTCTGCCATTTGAAAACCTCAACGCTCATCTTCAAGAATCCTTTATTTGACGTTGTAGTTCTATGGGAGGTGAGGAGCGAATGACTGCAAACAAGCAGTATTTTATCAATTCTATAAACCTTTTGAAACTATTTTGTCGAGAAAAAACCGGAAGAAACTTGAGAAGAAATTACTTGACTTCTTTGATTTTTCTTGATACACTTACTAAAGTCTACAGCAAATTTCACTCCCTTCATTTTCTTTTTTTTTAGAAATCTGAAATTTACTATATTTTCCTCGGAAAAAACTGCTAAAATGTAGCTGTTTATGCAGAAGCAAAATTTTAAATGATACTTAGCCATTATAACACTTTAATTTGTCCATATTATCAAGCAAGAGAAAAAAAAAATTTTTTTTTTTCAAATCTTATTTCTGCAGCCATTCGTTGTATCGAAGAAGAAACAAAAATCTAAGTAGTGCACAACAACTTTAGTTTTACTTCAGTCTCAATGGTAATTTTCAAAAATATTTATTCAGAAATACTGCCAGTTGACGGGACTGATAAAAAGTTGTGTAATGGTTAACAAAAAACAATATTACATAGTCCATAGTCTGTTTCGTAATGGGATTCATCTTTTGTTCTGTAGAACAAGAAAACTGAGCAGTATCTTCTAAACTGTGGCGTTCGATGAAAATTCTACCGAATAGCATAAAAAAGGAAAAAAATGTGTTCGAATTGCACACCCTCTGGCGTTTACCTTAAATAGAACTATAATCAAATACCGTCATACATTTCATTAAGGCGTTGTTACCAAACAGTAAAAGAACACTGTCGAAACAGATGAAGCGTTAGAAGCGCTGCTGGTGATAAGGTTCAGCTATCATTCAGCGGAGTAGAGCAATCCGCTGCTAATTAGTTCTGGGACCTTTGCTACCTGTTGTACCAGTAGTTTTTATACGGAACCGTAGCGTGTAACTTTTAGTTCTCTGTAAATCCATCATCTTAT